CATGTCACTCGTAAATAAAAAGTATTGAAATTATTATAAAACAACATTACAAAATACAAACTTTTTAGAGCCTCAATTTTAAAATTACCTTAATACAGCCTATAGATAATGCGATATTCTCAATCCCCTTTAATATGTTGTAATTTTAATATTAAAACCTAGCTTTGTGTCATTATTAGCTTTTCTCTATGCACTATTGCTTTCTTGTGAAGAATAAATTTATGTGATTAGTCAAGCAGTGGTGTTTATCATACAACCATTATATAGCACCTCCATTAAACTTAAGTGTCAAAATTTACACCAATTGCCACAGAGACATCAACTAATAGTGTCTCAACATACAATTTAAAAAATTTTAAAAAGAGAAATAATTAACTAAATGCAACATTAAGAAGCAAATGTAACCCAAGTGACTGGCAGGTTGAAATCAACACATCCATCAGGATATATATCAAATAATAACAGAATTATGATTAACAACATTTCAACTTTATAAACACATCTTACACTAAACTTAAGTTTCACACATATACACATATATATCGCACATCTTTTCTGAACTGCTAATCGTAAATTATATAAAGTGCCTTCAATCATAGTAGTCAAGGTGCTATTTATATCATCAATTACTTTAACATGAATTGTTTCGGTTTGAACTAGATTAAGTTCATAAATGGTAATTTTATTTAAATCGCAAAACATCAGAATTAGTTTATGATTTTCATTAACACCAAATTATTTGATACCAAATTGTTTGATCATTTTCAATGATGACAATTGTGAATGGTCCCTTATATATCACTTTCTATAAAATTTTACAAAACTAGTTTGAAAAAAACAAAAAAAAAACTTAGATTTATACTCAAAACACATAATTAAAGAATAAAGTTTCAACAAATCAGCATGTTAGTACAAAAACAACACGTTTCATTCCCTTCTATTAGAAAATAAAAACAGCACTAGAATAATCTACCATACCTAGAAACAACATTCACCTTATTCTGTTAGCTATAAAGATCGTGTTTATGTACATATATATAAATAGTTTTGATGTTGCTGGCTGTGAGAAGGATGCTGCTGTACAAAAGGATTTGGATTATGTGGTGAATAGAATGAATAAATGGCAGGTAGCTTTTAGTTATAATAAATGTAAAGTAATGCACTATTTGAACTATAACTAAAATTTTGATGGAAGTAACCTTAAAGGTGTTATGGAAGAAAAACAATATTGGTGTTCTGGTTGATCAGTCTTTAAGCCATCCAAGCAATGTGCTGTTGCTAGTGGTAGGGAAAATAAGACTTTAGGTTGTATCTACATAAATATTGAATACAAATCTAAAGAGGTTACAATCTCATTGTATAAGTCACTGGTTAGGCCACATTTGGAGGACTGTGTTCAGTCTTGGACTCCTTACTTTAGAAAGGACATTGAATTGTTGGAAAAAGTTTAGTGGAAGGCTATTAGGATGATACTTGGGATGGAAAGGTTGACATATGAGGACAGGTTAAAATCTCTGAAGTTGCTTAAGATTGTTAATGGAATTGACAGTGCTAATGCATAATCTTTTTTGCATACTTAATGGTACGAATGGTAGGACTAAGGGACATAACTATAACTATTGATGGGGGTAGAAGTTATCTTCAGCTAAAACAGTTTTATTTTTCTAAAAGAGTAGTTGGGTTTTGTAATGGGTTACCTTCGGAAGTGGTGAATGCAGTTAATATAAAGGAGGTTAAGGAAAGCCTTAATGAATATTTGAATAAGATAGCTTTGACTGTTTATTTTTATTTTAGAGTTTAGTATAGTGGATAGGACAGCCTAAATTAACCAACAGGTTCCTCATTATCCTTAAATTATATGTATGTACATAACTTTGGGTTTTTATTTTAAACAAATCATAAACAAGTCAAAGTATACCTCTACATGAAAATCCAGAACTAGGTGTTGATCAGGAATAGCTACTTTTTAAATCATCACAAAAATACACGTGTATTATCAAAATTCAAAACTTATTACCTAAAAATGTAGTTGTTTTTTTGGAGGGACACCCCCCCCCCCCCCATAGAGTTCAACAAAACTTAAACCTGACAATGACAGAAGCAAGAGTTTTTTTAACTCAGAAACTTACATTCTTTTTCTTGCAGAAAGGAAATTAGAAACAAACAAACGACAACATATAAACAGTTACCAAACTTTTAACTTTAAAGACTGTATTTTCATGGACTAAATTCAGAAATATGTATTTATTACTGCTATACAAGTTCAATCCTCTTGTAATGTTTCAGTTTTACCTTCTTCACTGTGAACACAGAGCATTACACTTAATATAATATAACTTAAAAGTTATTTAAAATTTTTAAATATCTGATAGTACACATATGTAAACTTAATGTTTTAAATCAAATACTAACAGTAATTTTCACGCTACTTCCAGAATTTTGTTTATGGCTTCATGACAAATATAGTATATACCATAACACTTTTTCAGGTGACCACTATAGCATCTTACACATGAAGTCATTTGTATCTGAAGCTTTTCACAAATGCCTTGTAAATCTACATATAATTTCTAAGTCACTTTTAATAGATCTCTTACTCATTCTTAACATTGGTGCATTTATTTATATATTTATTTTCACACATGCACAGAACAGTAAACCTGCTATCCTTAAATACTTTTGTAACCTAATAAGTAAATAGTTATGAACTCATAACCAGTTTCTTCAAAGGTTTGTTTATACACAATTTAATTGCACTGGTCCACATAATCCTTCTAAATTAACTTTTAAGATAAAAAAAAAGTGATTCTTTTTTTTTTTTTCTATGATTAACAAGCCTATCACAGAACACCCATGTTCTTTTTTTTTATCTTTTTTATCTTTTTTTTCTTTTATCAGACCACAAGAGCAAACAACCACAGCAGTATTCAAGGTTTTCACATGTTGCCCAAGTGAATCCTTATCAGAATACAAGTATGAAGGGCAATATTTTTGTTGTACAATAATTTTACTTATAATAAAGAATGGGATTCATGAGAAAAAATTCACCAAAAGCACAAATTATTTCTTCATAATGATCATTATTCAACTCAATATTAACCCAATCTCAGTTTTATGAAAATTAAGAATTTTCAGTGTCCAATAAAAAAACGTTACAATTGTGCATCTCTTTAAACACCAGTGTTTTTTATTAATTTTTATTCCTTAATGTAAATTGTAAAATATTTTGTCAAAAACAAAGCACTTAAATTTGACATCAACCTGAAAATTGCATTGCACTACTTTATTAAATAGTTAAGTAGCTCAGAAAAGTTTTCAAACTGAATGATGAAAATGTGATTATTACTATTTAGAAACACAATTTGTTCAAAACAACATTCTAACTTTAGTTTACCTACTTCAACTTAAATTAAAAATTTATATGTTGTTAGTTTGATAAATAAGGTACAAATTGATTAATTTAGAAGTACAATAACAAACTCTTACATTAAAGAAATTCTGTTACCTTAAGATGATCTAATACTCTGAATTAAAACATTGTATTCGTTAAAATCAGAATTTCCTTATTGTAAAAGTTGCTAGTTATTGTTAATAATTTTCTAGGCCTATCAGTTTAGCATAAAACTAGAAATACAGTCTAATTTTTTTGTTTTAATTTTGCAAAAGCATAAATTTTAACATTTCTATCTAGTTTCAACAAATTAAGACCTAGCAGTCGTACTATTACTAGTTGTAACAGCAGCACAAATACTAAAAGTAAAAATACAGTATAGCAATTAACTGCTTGTTCTAGTCTAGACGTTCATAATATTTTATTTTTAGTTGAACTATTACTTGTATAAGCAACATAATTTAATTACTAATATTCTATTAGTACTACTAAATTCTCATTACCAATTTCACAAGAAAATCAAAACTGATATAAGCCTACTTTAAGTTTAAGTCAAAGTTTAACTTACTTTCCAATAACTTCATACTGATCGTAGACTTCATCAAAGAGTACATCATCTTCAGCCATTTTATTTGCCGCACTTTGTTCTAAATATGGACAAGGATGATAAGACTATTTTACTATAGAAATTTATTCCACTGCGTAAAATTAATGTTGCAATGTGAATTGAAGGCAAATGAACTGAAACTGGAAGGTTGAACCTACGTAATCCTATAGTAAGTTCCCACCGCTCTCACCTCACCAGCTTTAGGCCTAACTGACCACAGTTCACAAGGGGGTGTGTCACTACACAATCCAGAAAAACGAGAAGCGTGTTAATCGGCATGAACACTAACGTTTATCTGCTAATCGCAGTTCTTTTATACCAGATTTTACTTTCAACACATCACGTATGAACAGATTTTTTCATGTACAAGAAAGTTTCATTTCAATGATAACTCTAGTCTATATCTTCTCCCGAATAAACTAAGAAACATTGTCTATACGATAAGTTGCGAGTGAAAACGTTGCCTAAGACCACTTGCTGACAAGTGCTCGTATATAACACCCGAATTCCTGCGCAAACTCCGAGCTAAAACAGGAATCCCCACAAATGTATTACATAAGAAACAAAGGTTCATTACATTCCAAGCTTCTGTGGTGAGGAACAATCCTACTACTGTTCTTGGTGTAAGAAGGGAAAAAAAGACAACAACAATATATAACATTTCAAGTATAGTATCAAAAGCCAAAAATACAAATTTATATTTTCCTATAGTTTAATAAAAACTATAGCAATAATACTTCGGTTCTAATGGCATAACTCGCGATTTAAAATTACATATGACAGTAGATAGTGTAGAGCTCCTATTCAATATTAATAAAATATTTCCATTAAATGGAAAACAGTTTAGTTTTTGCGATCACTTTCCAAATACATTCAAAATCACAAAACAGATATACGTAAGTCATTTACCATCATATTTTTATTTTAATCTTAAAACGAGACTTAACAAAAAATATTTCTGTCTTTCACGATAAATTACAAAGTATCCCTTAATATGTCAGCGTTAGTTCATCGATGAACTTAGAATAACAAAATCCGGGGTTCCAGTCCTCGAGGTGAATAAAGCGTAGATAGCCCACTGTGTAGCTTTTGCGCTCAAAAACAACACCATGTCAAATATTTTTAAGTGGGTCATTATTTTGCACGTTTTATGTTGTTGTTGTAGTTAAAATAAATATGCCGAACACATATCGTAATCATGTAACTGCCTCAAGAGAACGCCAGTAACACAAATTCTAATGATAAGACTATTGGGTATCACGTGACTTGGGTTTGGTGGTTAGCGTGCTTGGATTATGAGTGAATTCGAGGGTTTGTGGTTTGTGGCCCGTTACCACGAAAACGCTTTCTGTACTTTGAAGTCACGGATGCACTATAAAAGTGACTGTCAAATCACACAACGTGGTCAGACAAGTGTACCCAAAGAGTTTACAGTGGGTGCTGTTGACTAGCTACCTATCATCTAGTCTCTCAGAAAACATTTTGTATAGCTTTGTGGGAAAATGCTGGAAGAATAATCACTCGACTTAGACCGAGCGTGGCCAAATAGTTAGCGTGCTGATCTGTGGACTTATAACTTAAAGAATTGTAGTTTCCCTCATTTGTTACAACTCCGGTGATTTCTTCAATGATGATTTGAATTATAAATTTTCACTGCCTCAATTTTCCTAAAAAAATTATTTTCCACAGACTTAAAGGTACTGAATGGAAATCAAAATTACTAATTTCCAGAAGAATAGAACAATTGTATTTACGCTTAGGTATGAATTTTCTTCGTTTACAATTTTTAAAATAATGTTAACTTTTCTTTCAGGTCATTCTTTCTTATCTTTATTCGAAAGTTGATTTAAAAAAACAAACATCTTGCACACAATCAAATGATTTAGTTAATTACTTTACAAAGCTCTGCATTTGGGTTAAATTTCACTTATTTGAAAAACTCAATATATAAGACATTAGAAAACAAAACCATTTTCAACGTTCGTAATATGATCAAACTTTTGTAAATAAACCGGTGAAATATTTACTAATTTTGTTTTCAAGTTAAATATATTGAAGAAAAAAGATAGCATTAGTGTATAGCTTAATATTTGGTATTCCCCACAAACTACAGTTTAATATTCAACTATTATCCTTTGAATCTACATTGAGGCAATTGCACTATTTTCCAACTTATCTCTATACTTGAGGCCCGGCATGGCCAGGTGGTTAGGGCACTCGACTCGCAATCTGCGGGTCGCGGGTTCGAATCCCCGTCACACCAAACATGCTCGCCCTTACAGCCGTGGGGGCGTTATAAAGTGAGGGTCAATCCCACTATTCGTTGGTAAAAGAGTAGCCCAAGAGTTGGCGGTGAGTGATGATGACTAGCTGCCTTCCCTCTAGTCTTACACTGCTAAATTAGGGACGGCTAGCGCAGATAGCCCCCGTGTAGCTTTGCGCGAAATTCAAAACAAACAAACAAACTCTATACTTGAGTTGAGCACTAGGTGACCATCCCAGGAATTGCATCGACAGGCGTTGACCACTCATATGGAGACCAGCTGTCTTGTAGGAGGTAGAATAGAACTATTTACTTATGTTACCAGTAACCTTCTGGTTGTATATTGTTCTATTGATTTCCAACTCTTTTTTTTTACTAGCTACATCATACAGTGTTTTTGCTTTCCAGCAGTGGCATTCCCTCTGAATGTCGATGAAAACTTTCCATGACTGTCATTTTCGTCTTACTAGTTTAGAAGAGGTCGAAATTCTGCCAGTATAACTGTGCCGGCTTGCCAGTTTCCTCGATTAGCAATACACCTGCATAGCCTGGCACATACATACAGGTGATGGCTTTACTATCCAGATGATTTAATTTCTGCCTTTTTTCTCGGGACCAATCGCTCTGAATTTTACGAAGTACTGCCTGTCGTCAGTCGCAAATATTATATTGGTAGCACTATCTATTTGTGGGTCATTGCTTTAAGCAATCCAGTTGAGAATTTGCTTTATGGCTTACAGCTTCATTCTTGTGCTACTTGTGGGAAGCTTAAATGCTTCGCCATCCTTTTGCAGAGTGTTGTTACTCCACAAGGTGATGAATGCGTAATCAGCTCTCTCACTATTTGTTTCGTAGGAACTACAGTTTTGGCCAAAATGTTTGCATACTGTTTTATATTGATGGAGTAGTTATTGCGAAGGTAGCGTATGAACGGACAAACATATACAAGTTGTTATTCTGGCCTGTATAAGTTGTTTTGAGCATATGTTTGTCAAAACACATACATACATACCTGTTTTGTATTAAAGTGTGTGCTTTTAATATAATCTATTTTAAAACAGGTCAACGCGTTTTATTATGTACTTGATGTTGAATTGTGCCTCGTTACTTGCCAGAAGGTAAAGGACGTCAAATTGTTCGAGTGTCCAGGAATGGTAACTAGCAAACAGACATTGCAAGAACAGTAAGATACTCCCAGTGTATTGTATCCAGAATCCTGAAACTTCATCGGACTACAGGAAACTTTGTTCCAGGAAAGTCTACTGGAAGACGCCGGAAAACTACTGCCCAAGGTTACCATGTTTAGATCAGATTAACACGTCAAAGTCGAAAGTAGTCTTGCAACACCTTAAGACAGGAATGGCATGAACACATTCATTCCAGAGTATCCAGAAGTATAGTGAATAAGAGACTGACTAAACAAGGTTATTTTGCAAGAAGGACATTCTGCAAACTGATATTAACAACAACTCACCGCCGTCATACGGGTTACCTGGGCAGGACATGCCAACTTACAGTTATGGCACTGGTGACATGTCATCTTTTCAGATGAGTCCTATTTTCGGCTCATTAAAGCTGATGGTAGAATTCGTGTTCGTCGTTTGCCTTGAGAACAGATGAGGGAAGGCTGTCTTTATAAAAAAGTTATGGTGGAAAAACTGCTCTTCATATCCTCCAGGGAAACGTCAATGGCGCCTCCTACAGGCATCACATGGACACGATATTTTTGCCATATGCTAGGGCAAGGTTTGGCAATAATTTTGTGTTCTTGGATGCCAATACCACTGCCCACAGTCTGCGTATTTTATAGGATTATCTCGACCAGGAGGACGTTACAAGATTGTCGTGGCCAGCAAAGCTATTGTAATCCCATAGAGAAATGTTTGGCAGAAATTAGCCAGAAAATTGCAGCTACTGTAGCTGAGTTGCAACACTTTCTAGTGACAAGTTAGGAGGAAATTATGGTGGATTACATCAATAACCTCACCAACAGGGTGTCACGTCGTCTAGCAGAGGTTATTAGAGTATGAGGAGGATCAAACAAGTACTGAATGTTTAATATGAACTGATATAAGGTTACAGACGCTATTTATAACAATTTTATGTTATATTTTGTCATTATGTATGTTTTTGTAAGGTTTTATTGTGATAGGTGAAACCCTCAATTGCACATCTTTCTCCAGGTGTCTCATAAAATTGTTTGCTGTTCTAATAAATCGTTCATGATGTTCATAGAGCCTGTCTCATTATACAAATTACATAAGTAGATGTTTAATATAACACCCATTTCTCCCAAAAATAGTAGATGAAATGCTTGTTTGTGTTGCTATTAATTCATGAAAAAACAATATTATACTATGTGTGTCTAAATGTCCCTGGTGTGAGCAATAGTCTCGTAAACTCTACTGTGTTGTTAAATTGCTTTCTTTTATACTTTGGTGGTCACTAGTGTCTACCCAAGGTACCTCAGCTAGATGACTATGCTGAAGGACGATGCCTTGCCGTGGTGGCAGTGTTTAGACTAAACTATAGTCATGGAGAAAAGACCTGATTTATTGGATATTCAAATCCAATGAAACATTAGGACAGCACAACTAACAATGTTGTGTTGTGTCGAGACATGCTCTAATATTAATGTAATATTAACAGCTTAGATGTTTATTAATACATAATTATCAATTTGTAGAAAAGGTATGAAAAATAAAGATAATATGAATATGATCCAATACTATTAAAGGGTAGTAATTTATGTGATTATTAATGATTAGTGACCCAACAGTTGTTTTGTACATTTTCAATTCTATCTAGCTATTTAGCACTTATTCTGATCATTGATAGTGCATAATGCACAATGGAACAGAGAAGACTTTGGTAAAACATAAACAGCTGATGTTTCTGTTAGTGCATTGATGTCTTAAGTAGCTTTGATTATTATGGTGTTAATGTGGTTGGTGAAGTTGAGTTGTATGTCAAAGGATACTCCCATGTACCTCAGGGTTTATTCCAGATGAATGGCAGTACTCACTAAGAATTGTGATTGTTTGTTCTCATAAGCGTGCTTGTTGTTGAATGTGTGGAACATTACTGTGGGTTTGGCAGGAATGATGCTCACTCCTATGTCACTGATCCATTTTCTCACCATGCTAAGGGATGGTTACAATTTTGTTTTAGATTTCAGCTTTGCTGGAGCCCTGCTTCACACCAA